GTGACTGTCACACCGGAGGAGCCGCTGCTGGCGGAGGAGGAGAACGCCGCGCGCCGGAGTGCCGCAAGGCCGATGGTGGACCGGAGCGCCGCCGCAGGCGCCATAGGTCGAGAGAGAGAGATCGAAACGACGAGGAAGCTTCCGTTCGATTTGGCTGGAGCGAGTTCGGCCAGTCGAGGTGGAGCTCGTTGGGGTCTCTATTATTTTACTATTTTATTTTTGAGAAATCTCGTTGTGGGGTCGGTCGTGGACGGCCTGTTTGTCGAGCAGACCTGGCCTTATGGCATACGGGCCCGTGGTAGAGGATAAATTTGTTAGCCCACGTACAAGGATGGCATTACCCAATGGACAAGGAGGCAATCCTCAATATCCCGCTTAGCTCTCGAGTTCGCCAAGATTTCTGGTCATGGCATTATGAACGAAGGGGTGTTTTCACAGTGCGTTCGGCTTACAAACTTCTGTCCGCCACCAAGCAGCAACGCACGGACTGGCTCGAGCACAAGGATGGACACTCGCAGATTGAAGCAGATCGTGGATCCTGGGCGAAACTCTGGGGAGCTGCAGTCCCTGCTAAAGTTCGCGTTTTCGCTTGGAGACTGGCCAAATGCTCAATTCCTACAGGTGAGGTTCGACAGCACAGAAGCATGGCCGTCTCGGCGGAGTGCTCGCTCTGTCATGCGGCGGTGGATACGTGGCGCCACTCTCTTTTTGACTGCCGCATGGCGCGTTGTGTGTGGGCTCTTGCTGATGAGGACCTCACGGATACAATCATCTCTAACAGAACGGAAGATCCAAAGCTCTGGCTGCTATGGCTGGTAGATACTTTAAACACCGATGATCTGGCCCGTGCCCTTGTTACTATGTGGGCCATCTGGTGGGCGCGGCGCCGAGCCATACATGATGACCAGTTTCAGAGCCCGTTATCCACTCATATCTTCGTAAACAAGTACCTGGCAGAGCTAGAGATGTTGCCAAAGAAGGGTACGCAGCAAAAGGCGCGAGCTGCACACCCCAGGGACCTGCATGTGAAGGCCAGGGATCTGCATGTAAATACAGGACTACGAGTGGCGCCGGCGGCAGGGATCGGATGGCTCCCACCCGAGAGCCATGATTTCAAAATCAATGTCGATGGCGGCTTTTCCAAGATAGGAGATCGGGCTGCCTCAGCTGCTGTATGCAGGGACAAGGGGGGCAAGTACATTGGAGCATCGGCGATCATCTATGAGGGCCGCCTCAATCCGACAATCCTTGAAGCCGAAGCATGCAGCGAAGCTCTCTCACTTGCTGCCGATCTTCATCTCCGGTCCGTTTGTGTTGCTACTGACTACCTTGAGGTTGTAACGAACTTACGGGAGGAAGCTCCATGCGGATACTACCCTATCTTACAGGATATAAAGTATCAAAGTAGGCTTTTCAGTGACCTCAGTTTTATTCATGAAAATAGAAAGTACAATGGTGAGGCCCATGCCTTGGCAAGGGCAGCTGCTTCTCTTAGTCCCGGGCGCCATGTGTGGCTTAGCATTATGCCCGATATCATCTGTATCCCATTATGTTTGAACCTTCAATAAAAGGGTGCGGATTGCTCAAAAAAAACGTACAATAATTGGCCTCTATCTGTTGAGTATGCTCTTCTAAAAAAAATTCTGTTGAGTATGCTCTTCTAAAAAAACTGTGGAGTATGCCAATGTTACACCTTTATATCATCAAGTCATGCATGTAGTCATGAGTTACTTTATACATTAATTTATTCATGCAAAGCATGGCACCTCATCAACTCATGCATGCAAGTTTTTTTATGAACTTAGTCATGCATAATACTCTTACATTGTTTTAATTTATCTAGTACTTAATTTCTAACAAGATTCTGGCAGCAATCACGCGGGGCATTGTCTAGTTCCATACAACGCAGTAACCTATCATGATCAACTCCATAAAAAAGGGCCACCTCAAAGAGCCCTTTAAGTTGCGATCCATTTTGTGGCAAAGGATAGAATGTTGAAGCTAGAGAAGGACATAGGCGGGCCCATTAATCTTGAGCAAATTTATAGCTAAAGAACTGGTGTTTCCATGTTTCAAAGCATGGTTCCCGCGCATAATGCAAGCACGGTCTCAAGGAAAATATATTTTCTCTGCAGCATTACCCTCATGTTCAACCGATCATGAAGTAACAGCCAGAAAAACAACTTGTGCTTCTTTTGACAACAGGTCTCCAAAATCCATGAGAAGGCCTGATGAAGCTGAGTAGAATCACAAGACTAACGACATGCCCTAGAGAACGAGAAGGTACCCCACCATGGGCCATTCCAGACATTCATAGTAGTGGTTAACCGAGGGCCGTCAAGCTTGGTCTGAAGAGCGCGCAGATGATTGAATGCTTCCACAAAAAGAGGCAGATTGAAATGTGCCGACAAAGGCCTTTGTCTGATGCGACTCATAGATATTTTTGAGTTTCTAACAAAGGAGAAAATATGAGGTAGACCCCCTGTAAAGGATATCCATCCCATACATCTATCCAAAGTTTAATTGTTGCTCCAGGGTGAAGATTACATGTGTCAAGTCATTTGTATTACGGTAGAAATTTTAGACAATGTCGCCACGAAAATGAGCAATCTGATTGTATGGTACGGGGGTAACTGATGCTGATAATAGGCTTTCAAATTAGCTTCACCCATGGAAATTCATCAACATTGAAGAATTTATGAAGGTGTTTTAGCAGAAGACATTTCTTTTCCAAAGTTAGTTCGGTAACTCCACGGCCTCCAAATTCTTTAGGTTTACAAGGAGTGGGTTTTTCTCGGTAAGAACATTGCCTCTTCATGGAGAATGTCTTTTATTCTGATTAATTGTTTGAATCACACCTTCGTGAATCGTGATCGTGAATGAAGCCAGAGCTTAGATAATCCACCAATTGAAGTTTGACATCATAGGTAATAAAATCTAAACAACTCTACACCTAATCTCTTTTCAACTATTTGTACCAAGGGTAAAAGATGATTCACCTTAGGTCCAATGAGATCAGGGCAGACCAAAGTAGGTGAAAGAGAAGCTTCCAGCAAGACATTGGAGTACTTATGTTAGTGCAACAACATTCTGCTCTCACAAATTAATGGGAAAAAGATTTGATCTACTGTAACTAATCTTCATATGCATATGGACTCGTGGTGGACGAAAATTTTATGAGCCCACGACTATGTACGTTATCCGAGATCGTGGTGGAACTTTGTTTGACGGGTTGTTCCCCCGCCTAGTGCTTGCTTGAGAGCAGTGGTGGAACTCGCACCAAAAAGTTGGGTGGGCCAGGCTATAAGGATTGCTAGTACTTGGTATTTTATGGCCCATAGGATGGCTAGGAGAAGCTCCAGAGTTGGGTGGGCCATGGCCCATTCTGCCTTCTTGCCTAAGCTCCGCCAGTGCTCGAGAGGACCTGTATGTGAACTACTTGGTTTAGGGTTTAGGCGGGAAGCATCTGCCTACGACCCTTTGTCTGACAAGGGGTGCCGTCTGGTGGGGCCTAGTCCAAAGAGTAGAAGCAACCCTATATAAGGAAGGGCCATGGGATGGCAGGCTTGGACTAGACGGCGGCTTTGGCCTAGGTTTGGCATTGGCTAGGGTAGGCTAGTTCATCTTCCCTTTTCTCTGTTCTCCATCTTCCTCTTGATTCTCCCACTGTAAACAAATTGCAATATCTGAATCCATGTCAATTGAGTGAACTAGTAGTGAGACCTGCATCCCCTTTTTGTGGTGAGCTGCAACTACCATGACGCAACGTTGGGGCCCTTGTTCTATGTTTTGCAGAGAGAAAGGATTGTACCCAATGTATCAATATTTGGATTATGAAAAGTGTATGTTTACAGACACACGTATACAGTACTAGGTTGCGCCGATTGCAATGCCACTTAGGTCCCACCGCCGGTGCTTTAATTTAGGCACCCTCGTGGTTCTACACGGATAGATTCAAGCATGGTGGCGATGACCTCTCCCAACTGAGTATGGCAATGTCATGCTTTTCACATATCTGCCATCCATGATCATAATTAAGGCCGATATCACCCTCTTCGGCAAGGTTGGAATGGGCTAGTTTGTGAGAATTCAAGTCCAATTGGAGTTAAGATTAAACTCCTAACAAATGTGTGTTTACAAAACTGAATACGTGCATTGATCATTTTTTTTTTTGGAAACGAACTTCAGATCTATTCATCATCTATCAAGGAAGTACAAAGAATGCCAGAAGTAACTAAAAATCACATCCAAATTCATAGACCGCCTAGCGACAGCTACAAGCACTGAAGTGAGCCGAAGGGGCGCCGTCGCCATCGAGTGGAGCCGGAGAAACATTGTTGTAGTAAATAATTGAAAAGTTGTCGTACTAAGGCCTCATAGGACCAGCCCACGAGAACATCAACCGTCGTTGATAACGAGAATTGCTGACCGAAGGGATCCAACCTGTAGACACACGGACCCACACAAACGAGCACGGTGACCCGCCTACACTAAGGCTCTTTGGACCCTTCTCTCACTAACGGCTTTCTTTTTGCAGAACCTCTTAATAACATGCTGCCCCACAAAAATCAGTGAAACATCGAGCGAAAAACTTTCATCTGAAGGTGGATGGCTAAACTGGGAATGTATTCCCATTTTCACATGGCCATTATTTTTTGAGAAACAAAGAACTTTTGAGAATTCCGAGGATCTTGACCATTTGGATGGTAAAAAAAAAAGATGAAGGACAGATAAAAAGGCCATGCATGCACCATGCAAGCCAAAGCCGCTCGCTCTAGCTTTCCTTGACATGAATAAAAGCTACGTCGTACGTATTGGTAGCTGGCGCGGTGAGTCAAAGCAAACCCCGAACATCCCGCGCTCGCGCACCCCGATAAGTTCGACCACTCCATCCTCTGCTGCTCACTCGCACTCAACAACCTGGACTGCTTCTTGGGCGCACGGATCACATCTCCAGACCACCGGATCGCGCGCGCGCCGCCGGGTACCGAGCGCCGGCCATGGCGCTGCATGGCGGGTACACGGAGCACTTCGTGGGCAGGGTGTCCAGCCTGGCCCGCCGCGTCTCCCGCGCCACCCGCCGCCTCCTCCGCCACCGCCTCCGCTACGGCGTCAGCGCCTCCTCCTCCTCCTCCTCCTCCTCCTCGCGCAGGAGGACGCGCCCCGTCGTCGACCCCGCCGCGGGCAGCGGCAGCGGCAGCGTCGCCGACTCGCGGCGGCAGCCGGCCGGCGGCGTTGTGCCGACGGCGGACGGCAAGGGAGACGTCGCCGACGCCGACGCCGAGAACGAAGAGGATGACGGCATCTGGCGCCGCGCGATCCTGATGGGGGGCCGGTGCCAGCCGTTGGACTTCGCCGGGGCGATCCACTACGACAGCTTCGGCCGCCGCCTGGCGCGCCCGCCCTCGGCGGCGCCGCGCTGCGCGTCGTCGCTGTCGTGCCGCTCCTCCGACAGCCTCGCCACCTACCTCGAGACCACCGAGGTGTGATCCCTAGATGGACGGGGCTGCATGCCGCCGATCTGCTTCTTCTTCTTCCGTCGTACGATTGCTGCTCCGGCCCGCCTGAATCATAAGAAGAGAGAGATGTGTGGCGATCGCGCGTTGCTAGCTAGATTCATTAGCAGTAATTCGGTCTTTCTCTGGCTAGGTTTTTTGTTGATTAATTTTGCACATAATGAGTAGAACGATTCTTTCTCGTTCCAATATTTTGTTTTTTTTTCCGAGGAAAACATCCAATCTATTCGCTTCAGTCATGGCAGTACAATGAACACTAGAGATATTTTGTTGACGCAATTGTTTCCGGGCTTATAATGAGTACCAGAAGCACCGGCGTGCGATTTGTTTCTTTTCTTCTTCTATTTGTTTCAGTAGAACACACAGTGAATGAGACAACTTCGATCTACTCATGTCAAAATCTTTTTGTGCAGTTCTTTTGTTGATCGGTTGGATCATCCGTTTTGTTCTAGGTGTAGGTTTCGCTTGTGTTGCTCATTCAAGTTCAACCAACCATGCATGACGGTGAAGTTCTTATGCTCCAACTTCAAGAACACACTACATGCACGCGAAGGCTAAAAAAGAAATACTTAGACACTGCCCCTTGGATGATGCACCATCGATGATTGAGAGACTTTGCACCACAGTTGCGGATGAGCGCATCGGATTAGGGCTTAAAGCGTTTGTGTTCATGGAACCAAGAGTGAATGGCCTAAAATGTTGTGCCCTTTTGCTCTGTGTCATGGATTGGATCGATGGCAGTGGCCAACCATGCATCACACAACTCGTCCTCCCGCATATTGAAGCTTTCTACTCTACCCCTTTTCTTCGGATCAACAACAAATTCATCCAGATCATTGTTGCCACCATTCTCCTCTTGCTCCGGTTGTCTTGTAACCCAATCCTACTGCTTCCACGCCTGGCTGGCCGGACTGGGTGTAGCCCGGTTGCGTGCCTTGTTGGGTGTATGTATCGGACTGGGTGTACGTATCGGGTGGGACCCTAGCCATCCGCCTGCCCCTCCTTGTAGCAACCTCCTCCACCTTCGTCACAAATGATCTCAAACATCTCCCTGCATGTATCGTCGTACACCCGCTTGCCTGCTTTGGGCATACCAGCGAATAGCGTGCAGGCAACCGTCTACTCCATGGCTGGCATCCACGTCCGGACAAGCCGTGGCAATTAACAGCCCGAGAAAAGATGCAACGTCGCATTGACGTCAACGATGTAAGTCACTTGCCCAGCAACAGATGTCGGGGACTGCCTACCGAGCATCTTGACGGCGTATTAGTACGGAGCCTTGTAATGCTCCGGCCATGGTGGCGTCTGCACGGTCAGCAACGGCTGTGGGGCCTCTACGTCCCAGGCTCCGCCCTCCACCACGTGCTCCATGTGCACGTCCACCGCCACGACCACCACATCCGCCAATGTCGACCTTCTGCTTCTTGAGTGGTGTCGCCTTCGTGGCCTCCGCTTTGAGGAGGCGATTTTGCCGTGTCTCCGAGTTGACCTTCCGGGCGAGCATGGTCGTCGGATCCTCTACCACTGCCGTCTCCAACAGCTTCTCATGCGGGTCCATGTGGCGGCGGCGGCGAAAAAGGGCGAGAGTTGGGTGGAGAACGGCGGGATGGAAGAGAAGAGTGGGAAATCAACTCTGCTTTCTATTGATGCTCATTTAGGTAGATTTCCTTTTTCTTTGTGTCTTCTTCAAGGATCGATTAATAAATTTATTATTTATAAGGATATGGATCTATTAGGATGAAAAGAATAGCTTCATGTATTGGCGAGATGTGTGACTTTTCTGTTTATTCCCCAATAGAGGAGTATTCAAATATCTAAATGCAGCTACAATACCTCTATGATTCGAGGTGCTCCGACATGCTTTTCACTCCTCTAAAGTTAGGAAGCAACTGGATGTTCTATGATTCACCACACACCTTAATTATGCTTGCATCAAACTAAACATTAGTTCAACAGAAGCTTATTTATCATGATATGAGATTGCTTACAAATACGTAGAAGCATAAGTTGTCAAGGTTATTTACTTCCGACATGTTAGTTGGCACATAATTGAGTTGAGCAATCATCTTGGAATTTAATTTCTCATAACGCATGAAGTAAAAATTCTATAGTAAGTCAACAATTTGTCATTATTGATGTAATTCTTCCTATTGCTACAAGACTTATATATAACTACATTAGAAATTTCTTCAATAAAATATAATGAATAATATGATTGACACTAAATGGTTTTGTATGTCCTTTGCCACTCAAAGCTTCTAAAGACTATAGTAAGAATCCAAGTTCTTTGATATAATTCTAGATCCCATGTTGATCTCAAAACATCGGATGGTCTTCCTTTAAGTTGTGAAAAGAAGTACTCCCTACTTGCCGTATGTCCATTAAACATTGCTGCCATGTAATAGATGGAGATTCGAAGTGTGAAGAATGTGATGTTGTAAACTGTCACCACTGAGATATCGAGTATTGAGGAATATTTTTTTGCGGGTGAGGATGGTTTTCTTCTACCTCTTGCACAAGAAATAAAATTATATGGTCAAGTCATTTAACATACCTGAGGAATGCCCCCAATGAGCTGCCCTTGGTATTTCATGGGACTTCTAAGAGAAGGCAAATTTATTTACTTGGAGATGTGGAAGTGGATGTTGAAGAGTTTTCATTGTATTTATAACATGATACGATGCTACAACAAAGTAGAAGAGTCCATAATGTAACATTTATTATACTATAAATATGTCTAATAATGTGCTGGCATGTATGATTATCGCAATTGGATAGAGGTGTGTGTTGAATGTTTTGTGCGGCTATAGCGTTTGAAGAAGGATCCCTCTAAAGAACACATAAGTACAATTTAGCGCATCTAGCGGGATATAGTGTGAATTATCTATATTATAACGCCAACTTAGCTTCTCTTTTATATGTTGCCCGTGAAAAATATTGGAAGTGTCACAATTTCTCTTGGTGTCGGTGAGCGTTGACACACTTAATATGCCCATATCCATATACTTTGAACAATATGCACAAGATCCATGTCAATCGTAAGGATTACCTAGGTGGATGAGAACAAATAACCTCACACTTGCCAATGGGTCACATACACAACCATTTTATATAATCATATTGTTGGGGAACGTAGCATGCAATTTCAAAAAAAATTCTATGATCACGCAAGGTCTATCTAGGAGATGCATAGCAACGAGAGGGGGAGAGTGTGTCCACATACCATCGTAGACCGAAAGCGGAAGCGTTAGTTAACGCGGTTGATGTAGTCGAACGTCTTCACGATCCAACCTATCCAAGTACCAAATGTATGGCACCTCCGTGTTCAGCACACATTCAGTTCGATGACGTCCCTCGAACTCTTGATCCAGTAGAGGGTCGAGGGAGAGTTCTGTCAGCACGACGCGGTGGCGACGGTGTTGATGATGTGATCCGCGCAGGGATTCGCCTAAGAACTATGATGCTATGACCGACATGGTAAACTGTGGAGGGGGGCAACGCACACGGCAAAGAGAATAACATATGTTCTTTGGGGTGCCCCCTCTCCCCCGCACCCGTATATAAAGGAGGAGGGGAGGAGGCAGCCGGCCTAGGGGGCGCGCCAAGTGTGCGGAGTCCTACTAGGACTCCCTTGTCCTAGTACATTCCCCTTTCCTTTCCGGAATAGGAGAAGAGGGAAAGAGGTGGAGGAGAAGGAGGAAAGGGGGGCCGCGCCCCCCACCCCTAGTCCAATTCGGTTTGGGCTAGGGGGAGCGCATGCCTCCACCAGGCCACCGCCTCCTCTCTTCCACTAAGGCCCATGAAGGCCCATTAATCACCCGAGGGGTTTCGGTAACCTCCCGGTACTCCGGAAAATGTCCGAACCTTTCCGAAACCATTCCGGTGTCCGAACATAACCTTCCAATATATCAATCTTTATGTCTCGATCATTTCGAGACTACTCGTCATGTCCATGATCTTATCCGGGACTCCGAACAAACTTCGGTCATCAAAAACACATAATTCTTAATACAAATCGTCATCGAACGTTAAGCGTGCAGACCCTACGGGTTCGAGAACTATGTAGACATGATTGAGACACATCTCCGATCAATAACCAATAGCGGAACCTGGCTTCTCATATTGGATCCTACATATTCTACAAGATCTTTATCGGTCAAACCGCACAACAACATATGTTGTTCCCTTTGTTATTGGTATGTTAATTGCCCGAGATTCGATCGTCGGTATCATCATACCTAGTTCAATCTCGTTACCGGCAAGTCTCTTTACTCGTTCCGTAATGCTTCATCTCGTAACTAACTCATTAGTAACATTTCTTGCAAGGCTTATAGTGATGAGCATTACCGAGAGGGCCCAGAGATACCTCTTCGATACACGGAGTGACAAATCCTAATCTTGATCTATGCCAACCCAACAAACACCTTCAGAGACACCTGTAGAGAATCTTTATAATCACCTAGTTACATCGTGACGTTTGATAGCACACAAGGTGTTCCTCCGGTATTCGGGAGTTGCATAATCTCATAGTCATAGGAATGTATAAGTCATGAAGAAAGCAGTAGCAATAAAATTGTACGATCATAATGCTAAGCTAACGGATGGTTCTTGTCCATCACATCATTCTCTAATGATGTGATCCCATTCATCAAATGACAACACATGTCTATGGTCAGGAAACATAACCATCTTTGATTAACGAGCTAGTCAAGTAGAGGCATACTAGGGACACTATGTTTTGTCTATGTATTCACACATGTACAAAGTTTCCGGTTAATACAATTCTAGCATGAATAATAAACATTTATCATGATATAAGGAAATATAAATAACAACTTTATTATTGCCTCTAGGGCATATTTCCTTCAGTCTCCCACTTGCACTAGAGTTAATAATCTAGATTACAAAGTAAAGATTCTAACACCCATGGAGTCTTGGTGTTGATCATATTTTGCTTGTGGAAGAGGCTTAGT